TAATATAAAATATATCACTATTTTTATCGTTATGATCACTCAAAAGGGTGAATATAGTGTTTACCCTCGTCTCTCCGTTCGTCAGTCTGTCTGTCCGTCCCTTCATCAGTCACGAAAAGTTTGTTCGAGTAAACTGGCCCTAAGTTTTTAATCGGATTAATTTGAAACTTGGAAGTCCGTCTAAACATCGTGTAAAGTCCGTCTAAACATCGTGTAAAGTCAGTCTAAACATCGTGTAAAGGCCTACATGTTATCTACCTGTAGTTGTTACGCTCAACAATCGTTAAGGTCAATTTTCATGATAAAGAGGAAGACGATAAAGCTGATCCATGATTGGCCAAGAACTCACCTACAAGTTGAGAGATTGATAGTGATTGGCTGAGGAGGAGTTAAGGCTGGGGTGAGGGTCATTGGTTGTTGTCACGTGAGGAGGGCGCAGGAGGGCAGAGTAGTTGATGATGTACAACTCTAGTATATCAGGTGCTGTTGTGGGTTACCTCGGGAGGGTCAGTTTTGTGTGGACTTTGTTTTCTTAGATGTTAACGTAACCAATCTAATATTGCTTGATGTAAACATTCAGTCTTTTCTTGTCTTGCCAGAACTACTTGTGCTAGATATTTAAGTTGTTTGCCTGACTGATGTGGTTGTTTATCCTCAGAACACCAAGTTCAGCGTGCAGATGGTGGAGATAGTGAAGCGCCCCGGGCAGACGCTGGGACTGTACATTCGTGAGGGCAACGGCGCCGACCGTGCTGAGGGCGTGTTCATCTCCCGCATCGCCCTGGAGTCTCCCGTCTACAACTCCGGCTGCCTACGTGTGGGAGACGAGATCCTGGCGGTAAACCTGGTGGACGTGACGCGCATGGGCCTGGACGACGTGGTCATCATCATGAGCATCCCGCGCCGCCTCCTTCTCACCACCAGGTCGCGGCGGGGTGGACGGGGGGCGCCGCCATCTCCACAGCCCAGACACGAGCCTAAGCCGCCGCCCGTCGTCGTCATCAAGAAGGAGTACGAAGAGGAGCCTCCAGAAGACTCGAACAGTAACGGGGACACGCTGCGCTTCGGTGCTATGGCTGGGCGGCCGCCACCGCCACCTTCTCGGCCGCCGCCCGGAGTACCACAAACTCAGGAATCTAGATTCAGCACACTGCCTCGGTACCGCCCTCCGGAAACTATGTCAGCACTCCGTCACGAGGAACCGCTAATATACTATGGCACAAGAGGAATACCGGGTAAAGGTCCCTTCGGTGTGCCCCAGCAAGCACCCCAAGGAGCCCCGCCCGGTATGATGGGGGCCCCAATAGGCCCTCATGCTACCCATCCTGGTTACCAACCGCGGAGTGGCCGCCAAGCAGGGGTGCCAGGCGCCCCCATCCAGCAGTACGGCGCTCCACCCCGTCCGCCTATTGGGTCGGACATAGAGCGCTACTACCAACCTCCCCCACCAGTCATCACGGAACAGCCGCGGCCGCAACAGCAGCAGCACTTTACACCATACGAACGGTCATATCCCAAGACGTTAGAGTCACTAGCAGAGCGTGTGCACTCTTTCTACGGGCCTCTTCCGGGTGAACTAGTGGATGTCGCGGCTCTACAGGCGGGGCAGATCCCAGGGAGGCAAATGCGGCCCCAGGAGCCACCGATGTACGGAACCCTGGGCCGCAGCAGCGTGGGTAGACCCAGGCTAGCCCGCACCCTCAGCGACCAGCGGCTGCCTGCCACAGAACGCGAGAGTCTGAGTGACTATGAAGGCACCGGTCCCTCGGCCCGCCGGCTCAAGGCGACCACACTACAGTATCCCTCGGGGGCACAAGTGACGGACCGGGCCACCCTGGAGCGGTACCAGGAGACCATGAGGCGCTTGAGTGCGCTACGTCAGAGGACGCGCTCCGTGGACTACGCCAGCGACACAGAGGTCACTCTCCCACGGTCGTCCCTCCTGGCGAGGGCGAGGGGCGCCCACCACACCGGAGCTGCAGGAGGCACCGCGGCTGCCCGCTCCAACTCCCTGCCTCGCCACTCCTCCCGCCACCGCGGGGGCTCGCACGTTAGGTTCGAGGCCCGCGGGGGACCGGCGGTGAGCGAGGACGAGAGCGACGGCGCCGTCAGTGCCCCAGAGATGCCCACGGGCACCGAGAGAGGTAAGCCGCCCTCTCTCTACACGCACGGTAAGCTTCTACCCTCACCTGCCTGCCTCCCTGCCTGCCGGACACCCTCACCTCCGCCCACACCCCCGCTCTCTCCTCACACTTCAGTCTGGCTCACTCTCTGTTGTCTCACTACAGTCTACCCTCACACACTCTACTCACACACTCGTAACACAGTACAACTTACACACTTTACACTAACATTTCTTTATTTATTTACACGTTTATCAATGGTTACTCTCTACTGTACCTCTCTCGAACACCTTCAACACACACCAGTTCTTGAAACACACTGTCCCGCCACCAGGAACTACGTTATCTCTCTCTCTCTCTCTCACATGTCATAGCTGCGGCACAGATCATCGACAGCAGAATCATAGTAATCTAGCCAACTGTATCCAAACTCTTCTAACACTATAACTACAACACCTGAAGTGACAAAATAACATTGTCTTTACAGGGTCCAATACTACAAAATTCCCTTTTAAAGGATCCAACACTTCAAACATCTTATATCATGGAATCCAACACTATGAGTCATATATAGAATCCAACACTTTGGTACCTATAAGGACTCCAACTCATTATAACGTTTTATATAAGGGGCCTAATATATAACCACCTTTAATAGGTTCTGAACACCCTATAGCACCTTTAAAAGAGAGTTTACACCACAGTAATTCTTTATCAAGGACTTAATCCTCTATAACATTCAATAACACACTATAACATTCTACGATACTCCTTACATTAGATCGAACACTATAACATTTTATGTATAGGGTTTAATACTCAAGATACTTCTAAATAAAGGTTCCAACACTCTTTAAACACTGTGTATAAGGGATTCAACTCTTATATCACTTATTATAAGGAATCCAACATTCCATAACACAGTATAGTCAAGGCTGCTATCGTCACACCACCTAAACCTACTCTATAAATGGACCACCTGAAAATTACACACCTGTTTATGTCACCTGTTGTTCAATCATCAGGTGAAGTTAACTAGAGGGTGCCTAATCTTCAGGTGGTTCCTATAAACATGCAGCCTCTCAAAACACAACTGATCAACATTCATCATCACTACTGCTCTTCATAGTTCTCTTACTTCATTATCTTCCTTCTACCTGTACCTGTGTCTGTCTTGGCCTAATGGACAATATTACCTGAGTCACACCTGAAGCTGTTCTAAGACACTTTAACTCTTCTTGATATTGTCTACTGAGGGTCTTCCTGACGTACTTGACGCCTCTCTCTCTCTCTCTCTCTCTCTCTCTCTCTCTCTCTCTCTCTCTCTCTCTCTCTCTCTGGGTGGAGGGGGAATCTCCTTTCTTTACAAGCACCCAGTAGTAGTTTGGAACCTCATAATGGCATAAACTACTTAATGACCCCCTAGGGTGTCATGGACGCTGAAGGTGTTTAAATAAAGGAAAAAAATATGAAGAAATAAGGTATGTTGTCGTTCATGTTTAACACACACACACACACACACACACACACACACACACACACACACACACACACCTGTATATACACAGCAGTCAAAGTTACCTAAGCTAAACTAGTGTAATCTAACGTAAGCAAAACTATGTTAACTTAAAAGAAAATAAACTAATTTCTTCTAAACTAATGTAACTTAGACAAAACTAAGCACAAAGACTTAATATTCGAGGTTCTAATTAACGAGAATCACTTGTATACGAGTCCCAGATCAACAGATTCCGCACAAAGAAGAATATTCAGGTCCCAGCTTAGGTTAGGTTAGCTCTAGTTACGTTAGGTTAGGTAAGGTATGGTTAGGTTAGGTTAGTTTTGGTTAGTATAGTTTAAGTTAGGCTCAGTTTGTTAAGTTTCCGTTAGGTTTGGTTAGGTTAGGTTAGTTTGGTTAGTATAGTTTAAGTTAGGCTCAGTTTGTTAAGTTTCCGTTAGGTATGGTTAGGTTAGGTTAGTTTTGGTTAGTATAGTTTAAGTTAGGCTCAGTTTGTTAAGTTTCCGTTAGGTTTGGTTAGGTTAGGTTAGTTTAGAGTCATATTCAGGTACACTCAAAGTTCATTCCTAAAACAATTACATCACCTGAGAGAATCTTAAATAAACCTTGTAGTTAATAATTAAACCCCAGTAGACAACATGACTAAACCTCACACCTGCAGACCCTTAATTTGCATATTAATCTACCTTGAAGAAAGTATATTAAGAAAGTATTAGTTTCCTCTCTGCTCGTAATCTTCAATCTCTTCATATGGAAAAATAACGTTAGTCTTGTGTCCCTTAAACAAACACACACACGTCTCAGTCTAACTTTAACCTGACCTAAACAAACACACACACGTCTCAGTCTAACTTTAACCTGACCTAAACAAACACACACACGTCTCAGTCTAACTTTAACCTGACCTAAACAAACACACACACGTCTCAGTCTAACTTTAACCTGACCTAAACAAACACACACACGTCTCAGTCTAACTTTAACCTGACCTAAACAAACACACACGTCTCCAGTCTAGCTTTACCTGACCTAAACAAACACACACACGTCTCAGTCTAACTTTAACCTGGCCTAAACAAACACACGCACGTCTCAGTCTATTTAGCCTAAACAAACACACACACGTCTCAGTCTAACTTTAACCTGACCTAAACAAACACACACACGTCTCAGTCTAACTTTAACCTGACCTAAACAAACACACACACGTCTCAGTCTAACTTTAACCTGACCTAAACAAACACACACACGTCTCAGTGCAATATATTAAAACCTTAAAGAATTCCTATCACTGTGTCGACGTTAAATCCCCACCATGATTATGTTTTTGAGGGAACGCCAATGGTTTAATCAGATTGTTTTCTAGGGAGGTTTCTATTGGTTTATCTGTTCTTTGAGGGAACGCCCATTGGTTAATCAGATTTTGGAACGAAGAATCCTATTGGTTACTAGAGCGATGCAGCGTTGTTTTGGGAGACTATTATTGTTTACAAGAATACTATTGGCTGATATAACGAAGACAACACAATGTAAATAAACAGACGCCATTGATAACACCAAGAGTGTTTTGTAGATCAAGAGACAACTGTCCTCTAAAAGAATTGATTTTTTTACCAGAATATTAAATCATCTCGTATCACTCACATGTACGGGGTCATACTGGGTCATGTGAGCAGGGTGACCCATGTTGACTGTATCCACGTTCTGTGAGTGTGTACATGTGTTCTTGCCATAACTCTACAGCAAGAAGAACTACAGTGTACGTACATACATGACCCCTACAGCTGCTGTGTTCCTAGGGTCAGTGGGTGAACGGTTAGGGTCAAAGGTGTAAGGTCAGGGTCACAGGGTGTAAGGTCAGGGTCAAAAGGTGAAAAGTCAGGGTCAGAGGGTGTAAGGTTAGGGTCAGAGGGTCAAAGGTTAGGGTCAGAGGGTCAAAGGTTAGGGTCAGAGGGTCAAAGGTTAGGGTCAGAGGGTCAAAGGTTAAGGTCACTACTAAGACAAAGGTCCCAACTGGTGTGAGTGAGTACCTTTAGTGTAGTTGTTCCTTATTGATTGACAGGTAAGGGTGTTTGGGTGGTCATTACAGGTCAAACGTGTAAGTAAAGTAGGTCACTGTGTCATAAAGTAAGTCACTGTGTCATAAAGTAGGTTACTGTGTCATAAACTATGTCATCGTGTCATAAAGTAGGTTACCAAACTCAACAGGTCACCGTCGGGGGGGGGGAGGGGGGCTGTATACAGGTCTACCAGGTATATATTAAAGAATTAAATCGGGTAGAAGTGTTTAAGTTGTGACCTCAGAGACAAGAGGATGAATCAACTTGGCTATGAGTGGTCAACTGGGCCCCATCTAGCCTTAATAGACCCTAGTCCTAATGGGCCCCAGACTTAATGGCTACCAAATTGTAATGGTTACGATAGGAGGGAAGGGGTGAAACCTATTTAACCCACAAGCTGTGACTGGTGACCTCTGACCCTTAGCGCCCAGGTAACAGTGTCATAGGAGGAGTCAGTGTTGTTGAAGGCGAACACATAGAGTTAAATGATGATGCTGGAACGTGTGGTGTACAGTGATGATGATGATGACAATGATGATGATGATGATGCAGAAGTACGTCCACAAACAGAATATAATGAATAATAACAATGGAACAAATATACATAACGCAAGGTTACCGTTCACCTGTGGTAATTAGCAGTCACTACACCTTGGTACCTGGTGTCGTATTAGTGTATCTGGCAGGTGAGGGCGGAGAAGGTCTGATCTCTAGATGTATTAGATCCCTAACCTAACCTAAGTCTAAACTAACCATTCCTAATTGGTCCAGGTCATAATGGGTCTTTGTTATTAATGGATTGGTCTGATAGGTAAAGGGCAGGTGGACTGGTTATTAATTAAGACTAGGGCACATTTTACCAGCGATCTCTGACAGGTATTCATCCGACTCATCATGCCCTACATACATACATACATACATACATACATACATACATACATACATACATACAAAGTTAATTAGAATAATATAATGGTAAGTCATAACAGAGACAGAATAACAACACTCAAGACGGGAATTTCTACTTGAGAATTGTCGCGAGGAGAAAAAAAAAGAATTTGTAGACCTTTGTACTCCGGTGGTACCAATTTGGAGAGCGTAATAAGGATAAGAGAAGGTCCCTTTGGTGTATTATTATTGGGGGAGAGGTTATGGTACGAGATGATGCCTATGAGGAACACCCGAGAGGAGGAGGAAGAGGAGGAGGGGGGTAGGAAGAGAAAGACGTAGGAGAGGTGAGAGGAGGAAGAGGGGTGTTGGCCGCTGAAGAAGGGAAGCAACACAGCCTCCAGGGGGTGTGTGGTGGTGACGTGACTGACGGAGAGAAGCGAGTGTCTTAAAGTACCAGAGGGCCAGAAATGTCAGGAGTGTCAGGAGGGTTGGAAGTGTCAAAAGTGTCAGGGGAGCCAAGAGTGTCAGGAGGACCAAGATTGTCAGGAGTG